TAATTGAAAAAAAAATCGAATAAAATACAATAATAATAAATTTTAAACTGAATTACGAAATCTAGTATGTCAAATACCAATAAAAAATAATTCGCAAGCAGGAATAATTTTCTTGAGTACTTTAAATTGTTTTCAGTAATTTCCCATGCTTTTTAGTGAATGCCCCTTTTGAGAAAGGGTTGCATATTGAAATTATGCCACACAGTTAAAATGAACAAATCAGATTGAATTATAACATTCATCAAAACATTGTATCATCAAATACCGGTGAAGGGTTTCAGATTTAAACCTAGTGAGCATTTCTTTCCACACGTGATAAGGAAGTTCCAGATTTTATTCTCGTTCCTAACCTAAGAAGTTTTTTTCTTTCGCAAAGCACACGACTCTTTCTTATTATTGCAGCCCGGAGGACCAGGCTGCTCTATACATATAAGTTTAAGTGTTTGTGTATGAAGTGGAAGAAGTTATTCAGAATTAAAGGTTTTCTAAAAATGAAAAGGATTGGTTATCAGAATGTTCTTTCCCTTTATAAATCACGAGATACATAATATATTTACGTCCATAAAGTGAATCTGTAAAAATCTATGTTTTTTTTTTTTTTTTTTTTTTTTTGTATTTAATATATAAAGTTGCTTATCGTTTACTATCGAAAAAAGCTAGGACAGGTCCCTTTTTTTTAGAACATCGAATTTTTTATATTCTTAAAATTTAGATTTTATGCAACCAACATTTACTTGAGGAATTGATAAAGTCTAAAAAGGGTTTCTGTTCGATTTTCATCCGACTATAAGTTTTCAAAATATTTTCGACTATCTTCTCCATCAGTAAGTAAGTAAGTAATCATTTATTATAGTGACATTGTGCATTATAGACATTTCAATATACATTGTAAACAAAATACGTCAAACTGAGTCTGCACCCGGCCCATTGGACCTATAAGTCACTTTTTCCATAATTAACAATATATATTCTGTGTCTACTATTTGCTGGTTTTGAAAAAGACTGCTACTGTTGAGACTGTCAAAAACATTTTTGACCTGTGAAAACCACACACCTTGCATATTATAATCCCAAATGAAAACTTTTTTCGTTTATCTAACATTTTCCAACTGAAGAATTCGGTTCCAAAGGCGAAATATATTCAACCAACGTCGCTGTATAGAGGGTAGCAACCCAACTTCGAAAAGGCGTAAATCGGTGAAGCCCCAGAAAATAACGAATTGCACGATTTTGCACCATATCAATTTTGTGAAAAACATTATAACCCCATACTCCCGAACAATAATCAAGAACTGGCACTACACAAGAATTATAAAGGTTTTCGTATGTTCTGAATCCAACATCCTTATAAGAGTGTATTCTTTTATTATTTCCATCATTTTTTTTTATTTTTATTTCCATCATTTAGACTCATGTCTTTATCACACATATCGAAGCGGTTTGATGATCAAGATTCATTTCCATTGTTTACTTTATTTTTTTCCCGGGGCGACAATTGATGGTTACATCAACGTTTTCCTGTAAACCTTAAAACTGAGTCCAATTGTAGGCGTCGGTATGATGAAAATCCTAAAGTGCTTCGGCCGAAAGCGAAATTCATAGGTAATCAAAGTAAGGAAAGAATGGAAAGCCGGGCTTTAATTGCTCGAGTATAATGTCTGATTCGTAATAAGTATATATATATACAGTGTATATATATTTTCCTTTTTGCCATTGGTGTTTAACAGGTAGAGCTTGTATGATTATGATGAACAATATCTGATTATATCTCATATACCAGTTATTACAATTAACAGTCCAGACCCCAAGAAATGTTATGATTTAAAAATTTAATCAATAATATTTCCAAAAAATTCTCGCATTTTTTCCATTCAATAATAATTTTTTCTCATAATTCAAAAATTCAGTCTTGGAATAGTTCAAATAATGCACATGTTTTAGAGACATATTCTTTTAATTTCAAACAAACAGTACGTACTTAATTTTATCGCCAAATACATGTAGAAACACTGATATATGTACATTGTAAAGCGACTTCATGCATAACGCATATTAATTCTTAAAATTCCAATTCACTTTACTATAAGTTAGCTAAAAATCAAAAAAGAAATCAATATTATACAGTTATTGCTGTTTTTGAGGTCAATACAATGATTTAGCCATCTGAGGAGTACAATATTCACCGAGCCCGAAGGGCGAGGTGAATATTGTACTTCGAAGATGGCTAAATCATTGTATTGACCGAAAAACAGCAATAATTGTTTTATTATATGATTCACTGATAAAATGATACAGCTCATTGTTTGCATTTAATGAAGTCCTAGCCAAAAACAACAGAGCAGAAGAATTAAAATGTAAATAAACCTTTCCAGTCGTATTTTTTGAAATGTTTTTTATCAATTTTAGTTGCCATGAAAAAAAAATATAATGTCAGTCTTTTTATAGGATAACATTTGAAAGGAATCAGTATTATCAGGGAAAAACTGACGGCCAAAACGTAAAAATTGTTCTTCATTAAAAGTGTTGGAAGAGGTCCCTATATCCCCTCTTACCACCCTCAACCGAAAATATATATTCGATTATGTTTTGTTCACATGAAAAAAAAGTCAAAGTCGTCTAAATAGCTTTCCAAAACAATTTGCATCAATTTGGAATTTCCCGATCTATTTTTAGATCAATGTGAAGGAAATAAATCCTTGTATTCACCTAGAACGTCACGTGCAGGTGAATACAACGTAATATTTTTCTAATATAGTTGGATCTCAGCCAATCAGAGAGATGGAAATTATTCAATCATATAATAAAACCATTTACATAACATCGATGAAAACGATATGAAACATGAACGCTTCAACAATTTCAACCTTACGAAAATCCCGCGCTATTGAAATGAAACATATGGAGATAACGAACAGTATTCGTTCGAAAATACTAGCAGTTCGCTTACAATATGCATAGTCTCGTTCAACCAGACCCTCGGCTGTCTCCGTAAATCTCCGACCAGCCAGAGGGTCTGGTAAAGATACGTAATATCGTTTGTAACACCAAAATGAGGCTTACCGAAATTCTGGTAAAGTTTTTGATTGGCTGAAAAGAACACACCTACACGATTTAAATAAATACATGATAAGTCAACAGAAAAATAACTTAAAGATGTAAAAGTTATAGGTCTTAATGTTAAAGCTGTTATATAGGAATTGTTTACGGTAATGCCCACCAGTTATAGGTAAGTGTGTTTTATTATGTCTTGCAAATATTCTGTACGAAAGCAAAAGTGAGAGTAGTGTAGCCCTACCTGCGTAATGCACATTCCTTCGATTGAAATTGTAATTTCTCGTTTGGTGTCCGAAATTAAAGATAAGTTTATTGATATAAAGTCACAATCCAGAAGAAGAAACACATATAACATTTGTTTTCAAAAAGGGTCGTCAAAATGAAAACAAGATAGCGCCCTCTGACGGTTACAAACGCTAGTGATTCTTTACCAGACTCTCTGCTGGTCGGAGTTTACGGAGTTGCACAAATTGTTATTATATCACGATTCTCCCAATAAAGCAAATATTTTATTTCTTTTCAGTTTAATTCTCAAGCAAAAATATTGATAATTAAATTTTCCAACGATTCGGATGTTAAAAATATTTGTTTGAATATCGTCTCGTCTCGCAATGGGACTTTTTTTTTAAATCGGAAGCGTTCTACTTTGACGCTGTTTGGTTTTTTGTTTACTTTTGTACATTGTGCTATTTATAGAAGGACAGTCGATTATGATGCCAATAGCCAGGACTTTGCTTTCTGGAAAGACCCGCTATTACAGTTGGCACTTCAGCCTAAGAAAGTGAATTAGTCTACATATATACATGTATTTGTTTTTGTTCCCCACTTTCACTGAAGCGGGGGTGTCAGTGTCGGCCTGCCTGTTCGTCTTTATGTCTGCATTATTGTCTTTAACAATTTCTTTTCCGTTCTTTTTTAGCTTCTTATGGCAAAAAGAAGACCCTATTGATTTAGAGGTCAAAAGTTCATGCATGGGTCAAAATCATAATCTCATAAATTTCGTCTGTTCTATACTTTGGTTTCCGCACGATATTCCGAGAAGCACTTGGAGTGAAATTTTATATCACAACTCTCGGTTTCATAATGAAAGACACTCAAATATTAAGAGGTCAAAAATTCGAAGATCAAGGTTGTAAATTCAAACATTCTCTGTGTAAAACTTTCATTTCTGGGCAATGCCTCTAAACACTGTAAGTTTTGCAATAAAATTTAAATATGTATTCCATATATCCCAATGGACCCATTAAAGCGCCCCCTTTGATCCCCTAGAACCGTCCATGCTAGCTCTTCTTTCTGCTCCAGTTGGACTAATATTCTCTGAATTAGTTTGTTTATAATAATTTGTGGCTGTAATTAGTTCATCAAAGTCCAAGTTTGGTCTGTAAAGCACTCAAATATGAAACAGATGCGATAGCGTAGTGGTGTCTTTTTCGAGAATATGTACATATCAAGGCAAATAATACATGAATATTAGTACTGTTAATTAATGTTAAATCATTTAATCTCGGAAGTACGGCTACAGCAACTGTTTTCTTCTTCTACTTCAAAAGTGTAAAACTGAACAATGCTTCATAATTTTAATTTTTTTTCTACTTTCAAAAACCTTTTTTGTTTTGTTTTAAAATGTTGATTTTTGTAAATCTTTTTCAAGGAGTAGTACTATTTCTTAATGCAATATTATATATCCTATCAAGATTGTCCTTCTTAGAGGTGAAAATTTTTGATTTAGGTCTAGATAAACAGCCGAACCAGTCCCCTCAAATAAAACAATAAATAAGTACCAGTATTAGCGACATTATTTCCTTATAGTTTAGATGAAAATGGAATATAGATAATCAAGGTGTAGGCGGACGACCTGTCCTGTAGCAGAGAAACATAGAAACATTTCTGAAGCGAAATGTTAGTGCATGATCGCTTATACATGTATATTGTATAAAAGAATCAAATTAATAGACGATAGGTCATACCATAGATAACATAGCCAGTTTGGACCTTGTCTTATATAGATTAAAGTCAGGAACAAATTATGCAGGGATTTGTTTCATTCCGTAGTGTTCTAGTTACGATTTCATTATTCATATCCTCTTCAAGGACTTTAACCCCTATCCCCGTGTCAAGTAAGCGAGAATTTTATCAACTAATAAATTAAATAATTAATTTAAATGTCAATAATCCTTTAATTTTTAAATATGCATGTACCATATTTGCTATGTAAAAGAATAAAAATGTTTTCAAACGATAATTTTATGTTCTTGTAATAATAAAAAAAAGATTTTGGTTTGTAGAATTCTTAGCACTTTAAAATTAACCATCTATTTATCCATATTTATTGCAAACATTACCTGGATTTCGATTTTTTCATGTTATTAAAATAACTAACCTTTAAGCTTGATGTTTTAAATATATTGATATTTTTTTTAATTTTGTTTTCTCATAAAATTTCAAAAATAAAATTCCTGGAAATAATTATTATCTGTAATCAAGGCAACTTTTTAAATTGCTTAATTTTTCAGAAAGAAACGATGAAACACATTTTTTTCTAGAAATAATATCAGTCTTCAACATAAATATATCAATAAAATGATAATTAAATCGATCTGATATCATTGTTTTTGGAAGTTTTTGAAAGCAATCTTCTTTTCACATGAAAGACTGTGCAGATAAGATAAACAACTGTGCAAACTACGGGAAATCGTCCTGTGTTCCCCCTTACGAGGAGTGGGCGAGAGATAACTGTGCTCAATACTGTGGAATATGTGGTAAGTTTATGATAATTAATAGGACATTGCATAAGGAGCATCCCTTTGCAAAGTAGCATATCGATCCCGATTTAAATTATTTTGTTTTGCACGAGCTCCACCCCTCCCATGAACACACACATAAGCGTGTTACTGTGCTCTCTCTCTCTCTCTTTCTCACATATCGTCGAATACGAGAGGTTTAGAATAGTAAATTATATTTCAGATGTATAAGAAGTAACATTCCCCTTTAAAACAATGACCTAACAATTAATTGCTATGAAACGTCATTCAAAATACTACCCAATGATACGTTTTGATTTCAAACAAAGTCATTTTACGACCATAGAATATTTACAAAATACCGACACTAGGTTTTTGAAAATTCTTGTAACGTCAACTAGTCTGATAGTATCCTGTCCTTGAGCTAGGTTTAAATATCTATCGTTTGATCATGCTCTTGACTATCGAATCAGCTACATTTTAGGGGTTGTGAATACTTTGTGGTTATTATTTGATATTACTACATGTATATAGATAAAAAAGTTGACAGTAAGTAAAAATGTTGAAGCAATCTAGTTTGTCATAGAATTTGGTTGTTATAGTTGACCCTTATAGTGTAAAGTCAATTGAATTTTATATAACTTAGTTTAATTTTAATGCGATACCGAAACCTAGATTTTAACACATGTTACAGAAGAAAAGAGAAGTTAATGCAGGCATGATAACTCGCAACGACTTTTTTCTGTGGCTTTTTTGTAACCACTAATCAATTTAGAAAAGATATATTTCTTTATCAAAAGAGCATGAAAAAGAAGTAAATAAAAGTATAAAAAATTATTTCCAGGGGGCCCTACCACCCCTACCCCCTGTGTTGACGTACGAGATGACTGCGTGACTTATGGGAAGACTATCTGTCAGAATGTGAAGTACGCTCCCTGGGTATTGGACAACTGCCGCTACTACTGCAGACAGTGCTCGGGTTAGTTTAATATAATTATATTATATATTATTATTTATAATAATTTTGATTACATTACATAATAATATTGCATTATTTTGTTACATTATAAGTATTTATATATAGTCCTAGTATATTTTTTGTATTTTTGATTGAAAATTTGAGTACCTCATTTTCATACAAAATTGATCAGTATATCTGAAGGGCCCAAGCCTAAAGGTAGCAGAGGCCTTTAACGTAAATGACCGAGTTCGATCCTCGTTCGCCGCGTAACAACTAACACATTCACTAAGAGTAGTGATTAGCATTAAAAGTAAAAGTCAAGGGTCTTTCGGATGAGGCCATAAAAATCGAGGTCCCGGGACCGTGTCACGGTAGCATTGGCAAGATAAAGAACAATCGCTTCTCAATGACAGTGTGCCGAGTGCAGGTACCGATCTTATTTAAAGCACTTCGTCTGTATATGATGACTTCTCTTCGTGAATGAAAAACTCTCGAATTGGGCAAAAAACAACATGTTACAATCAATCAATATTAAGTTATGCTGCACTTTTGTTTTTGCAGATCCTGAACTAGCAATTGCAGATGCGAAGACAACAACAACGCGTGAGTACATTCATTATACCCCCGCTTGAAAAGCAGGAGGGTATATAGTATGTCCGTCCGTCCGTCTGTTACGCTTTGGGGTACCCATCTCTTATCCGCAACTCCTCTCATACTACTGAGTGAAATTTAATGAAACTTTCACAGAATCTTTATTACATATTGCCATTGTGCACCTCCTAATTTACTTTTTGATCTAATATATATTTTAAATTTTCTAGAGCAAAACATGGACACTGCCATTTTATTCATATGGGAGGCGGGGGTATCATTTAGTGAGCTCATTGCTCACAGTACCTCTAGTTTTAACTGATATGGATACATTGACCATAAACTGATGTACATTCAAATTATTGAGTATATAACTATCAAATACTAGCAATAATCAGATCATTCTTAAACAAACAACTTCAATGTTTTTGTTATACCCCCCGCTTGAAAAGCGGGAGGGTATATAGTAATCGTTAATTCCGTCCGTCCGTCCGTCTGTCCATCCGTCTGTACGTCCGTCCGTCCGTCCGTCCGTCTGTTACGCTTTGGGGTACCCATCTCTTATCCGCAACTCCTCTCATACCACTGAATGAAATTTGATGAAACTTTCACAGAATCTTAATTACATATTGCCATTGTGCACCTCCTATTTTACTTTTTGATCCGACACATATTTTGGGTTTCCCGGCCACAGGAAAACATGGACTTTTTCACCAGTTATAACCATGTTCAGCTCATTGTTTACCTCTAGTTTTATCCTCTGATTATTGATCTGTCCTACTACCTGTAATTAGCACTGCAATAATTCTTTGGAAGTGAGAACTTTTTATTGCATTTCATATTTTAGCAACATCTAAAGCTATTTTAAACCAGTGTTTATAGTATAGTATATATACCGTATAAGAAGAAATTTAAGCGAGGATTTAAATTTGGTCTTACTAGTATTAACGAGGGTACCAAGATCGCTAAAATATAATATCGCTAAAAATTAATTGCGCTTTATTTGAAATAGCTTCTTTAGTGAGTTTTTTAAAATCGCTAAAATTACATCTCGCTAAAAATAATTTACCCATTTTTAAGGACAAATTGCTAAATTTGCGTCTCGCTAAAATTTCCACTTATACGGTATAATCTATATATGATGATTAAATGTTTGCTAATTAAGTGCATTCTTAATTATTATGATTATAATTAAAGCAATGTTTCAGCCCCTCCTCCTTGTGTTAACAAACTGACTAACTGTGAACGATACGGGAAAGATGTCTGTAATAACCCAGTGTACGCTCCCTGGGCAAAAGACAACTGTCGCTATTTCTGTAGGCAGTGTACACGTGAGTATAGAACAGCAAAAATATATTAAATATGGGTTTTTTTTAAATAGTTACAATAAATTAAACTTTTTTTCAAATCAGAAGAAAAATACCCGGTTTACATGTATGAAAATGGAGGGCTAGTGTAAAAATCAATTATTTTTGTTGAGGTTTGTTTTACATTGAGTTCATTATATAAGGAGATCCACAAATTCAGGACCTCTAGTGAATGTTGAATTTTAAAAACTTATTCCTTTAACAAAGCAATCATATTCCTTTCAACTTTTGGGGTTTATTTTCAAGGTCCTTAAACATGTTAAAAATTCGCCATGAAAATAAGTTATTTTATAGTACTTTCATCCAAGTAATTATGTTTTGGCTACATATTCAGAATCATTGTGATTCTTACTTACTAGTATTGTGATGTTAAAGATATTCTGTGGAATATTTTGTACTTGTGACCTAAATAAATTGTTTAAATGTTCTATTTTTCACAGGGGAGCAGTTGGACATTGCAGACTCAAAAACGACTACCACCACTGGTTAGTAAAAAGATGCATTTTTTTAACAATAATAAATATAATATCTTTCTGAATACTTCTCTTTTTAATAAATTACAAAAGCTATAAAAATTAAAAATATTTTTTTTAAAAACCTGTCTGATTTTCATAATGTTATACACATGTAAGCATTGAGCCTCACACTTGAGCATGAAATCTGAATCTTCATTCATTTTCTAACGTGATAGTCGATTAAAATCATTCAATCCCTGTAAGCATGATGGAGAAGAGGGTGGAATCTGCCCCAAAATGTAAAATTTTTGTTCTTCTTTATACATAGATGAGTCATGCCTAAATACATGTATTGTTGAAGATAGTTAATCTAATTCAGACAAGCTAAAATGTTCAACTAAAATGTATGCAACAAAAAAGTAAAAATACCTCATGATCAGAAGCATAGAAAATATTATCGGTCAACAGGGGACACTCACTCCTCCATGGCCCCTGATCCCACCTCTGATGTTTTTGTAGGTCCATGTTTGATCCGCTCCTATTCTGTAATGTTTAATGGACTTTGGAGCTCGAATACTGCTCGTAATCTCCACACAGTACCTTTAGATATTTTGTAAGGAATATGCAGGTTTTTTATTAATGAATACGTTTTCTATTAAGTTCGCCCCACCCCAGCATTGGCCTGTGTCGATATTTTACCTCATTGTGATGTATATGGTGAGAGTGTTTGCAGAAGTGCTGATTCCCAAGCCTGGGCACAGATAAACTGTCGTGCTTATTGCAAGATCTGTACGCCATCTGGTGAGCAAATGATTTTATCAATTATACGCCACTATTCATTAGAGTAAGTGCTTATGAAAATGACAATTTTTAGCTCTACTGGTCAGAGACCAGAAGAGCTTATGCGATAGTAAGGTGTCAGTCGTCCGTCCAGCTGTCTGACTAGCTGTCTAGCTGTCCCTCTGTCTGTAAACAATTTCTTCAAAATGCTACTCCTCCTACAGTTTTGGTCTGATTTCAATATAACTTGGCACAAAAGTAGACTACACTAAGATACAATCAAAGTACTGAAAGTACTGAAAAGCGGTTAGCATGCTTTCATGGAATATGACTGTACAGAGTAGAATAACAAAAAATGCATTAAGTGATGATATAAAAGTAAGCATGCATATCTTTGTCCAATGTCATCAGCGAAGAAGCAGACACACTGACTTTTGTAGTACTTAACTAAATGGTAAAACCAATAACATCCCAGACTGATGTCACAAATGTATGTTTCAAAATATCAACCTGAGATTTTCAGTTTGAAAGACAGGAAGTTCAATTTCAAAAATTTCTTCCTAATTGTCTCCATTGGTGGCGTCTAAAAGTGCTCAGAACGAAAAAAAAAAATATGTTGATGTTGCAAATTTAATTGTCTTTCATGCTCTATTGATTCTGAAATTAGCATGATTAGGTAACTATAAAGGCTACTATAGCAAACAACTCAAAAAGAAAATTAAATGATAATTCAAATTCTTTAGATTAATTTATTTGATGTACTGTACATGGATCTTCAGCTGGCTAGTCTGAGAAAAACGGATGGACGAGCAGAGAATTTGTAAATTAATTAATTTCAGAGAGCTTCAGTTTCGTAGGCTCACTGCGGGTCAGCAGGTGTGACCTGTCATTGGGGATGCTTACTTCTCCTAGGCACCGGAACTTTCAAGGATCCGTTTTTCTTTTGAGACCGATCGCTGTTTATTCTTTATTTTGATACAGATACTGAGTACATATGTTTATTAATATTATGAACTATTTCTCTCACAGGAAGAAAGACAAGTAAACAAGATAATAAAGTTTTAAGAAATGTACATTATTGACTTTTCATACAATTAAATGTTCGAATAAGTAATAAATGACAATTATTTAAAAAAGAGTCGGCAAATATCTAAATAAAAATATGATCGTTTATAATCGTTTGTAATAATTAGACTGAGTACAGAATTTATCCCTGGAAACAAAGCTTTCATCATCTTTTAAATGATTTCAATTGAGAAAAAAAGGAGAAGAAAACAAACGTTTCATTATGGAAGTAATCCATAACTGTACAACTTACAGATGTATTCAGTTTTTTAGCTCTACTGGTCAGAGACCAGAAGAGCTTATGCGATAGTAATGCGTCCGGCGTCCGTCCGTCTGTCTGTCTGTCTGTCTGTCTGTCCGTCTGTCTGTCCGTCTGTCTGTAAACAATTTTTCAAAACGCTACTCCTCCTACAATTTTAGTTTGATTTCAGTATTACTTGGCACACAAGTAGACTACACTAAGATACATAGAATAGTGCATCGATTTTTGATTTCGATGAACGGTGTTGCCATGGTTACTAAAAATAGAATTTTCTGTGCAATTCCTTAAAAACGCTACTCCTTCTACAGTTTTTGTCTGATTTCAATATAACTTGGCACACAAGTAGACTACACTAAGATACATAGAATAGTGCATCGATTTTTGATTTCGATGAACGGTGTTGCCATGGTTACTAAAAATAGAATTTTCTGTGAAATTCCTTTAAAACGCTACTCCTTCTACAGTTTTGGTCTGATTTCAGTATAACTTGGCACACAAGTAGACTACACTAAGATACATGGAATAGTGCATCGGTTTTTGATTTCGATGAACGGTGTTGCCGTGGTTACTAAAAATAGAATTTTCTGTAAAATTCCTTAAAAACGCTACTCCTTCTACAGTTTTTGTCTGATTACAGTATAACTTGGTACACAAGTAGACTACACTAAGATACATAGAATAGTGCATCGGTTTTTGATTTTGATGAACGGTGTTGCCATGGTTACTAAAAATAGAATTTTATGTGAAATTCGTTTAAAACGCTACTCCTTCTACAGTTTTGGTCTGATTTCAGTATAACTTGGCACACAAGTAGACTACACTAAGATACATAGAATAGTGCATCAGTTTTTGATTTCGATGAATGGTGTTGCCTTGGTTACTAAAAATAGAATTTTCTGTAAAATTCCTTAAAAACGCTACTCCTTCTACAGATTTTGTCTGATTTCAATATAACTTGGCACACAAGTAGACTACACTAAGATACATAGAATAGTGCATCGGTTTTTGATTTTGATGAACGGTGTTGCCATGGTTACTAAAAATAGAATTTTCTGTAAAATTCCTTAAAAACGCTACTCCTTCTACAGTTTTTGTCTGATTTCAGTATAACTTGGTACACAAGTAGACTACACTAAGATACATAGAATAGTGCATCGGTTTTTTGATTTCGATGAAGGTGTTGCCATGGTTACTAAAAATAGAATTTTCTGTGAAATTCCTTTAAAACGCTACTCCTTCTACAGTTTTGGTCTGATTTCAATATAACTTGGCACACAAGTAGACTACACTAAGATACATAGAATAGTGCATCGGTTTTTGATTTCGATGAACGGTATTGCTATGGTTACTAAAAATAGAATTTTCTGTGAAATTCCTTAAAAACGCTACTCCTTCTATAGTTTTTGTCTGATTTCAGTATAACTTGGTACACAAGTAGACTACACTTGGATACATAGAATAGTGCATCGATTTTTGATTTCGATGAACGGTGTTGCCATGGTTACTAAAAATAGAATTTTCTGTGAAATTCCTTTAAAACGCTACTCCTTCTACAGTTTTGGTCTGATTTCAGTATAACTTGGCACACAAGTAGACTACACTAAGATACATGGAATAGTGCATCGGTTTTTGATTTCGATGAACGGTGTTGCCGTGGTTACTAAAAATAGAATTTTCTGTAAAATTCCTTAAAAACGCTACTCCTTCTACAGTTTTTGTCTGATTACAGTATAACTTGGTACACAAGTAGACTACACTAAGATACATAGAATAGTGCATCGGTTTTTGATTTTGATGAACGGTGTTGCCATGGTTACTAAAAATAGAATTTTATGTGAAATTCCTTTAAAACGCTACTCCTTCTACAGTTTTTGTCTGATTTCAATATAACTTGGCACACAAGTAGACTACACTAAGATACATAGAATAGTGCATCAGTTTTTGATTTCGATGAATGGTGTTGCCTTGGTTACTAAAAATAGAATTTTCTGTAAAATTCCTTAAAAACGCTACTCCTTCTACAGATTTTGTCTGATTTCAATATAACTTGGCACACAAGTAGACTACACTAAGATACATAGAATAGTGCATCGGTTTTTGATTTTGATGAACGGTGTTGCCATGGTTACTAAAAATAGAATTTTCTGTAAAATTCCTTAAAAACGCTACTCCTTCTACAGTTTTTGTCTGATTTCAGTATAACTTGGTACACAAGTAGACTACACTAAGATACATAGAATAGTGCATCGGTTTTTTGATTTCGATGAAGGTGTTGCCATGGTTACTAAAAATAGAATTTTCTGTGAAATTCCTTTAAAACGCTACTCCTTCTACAGTTTTGGTCTGATTTCAATATAACTTGGCACACAAGTAGACTACACTAAGATACATAGAATAGTGCATCGGTTTTTGATTTCGATGAACGGTATTGCTATGGTTACTAAAAATAGAATTTTCTGTGAAATTCCTTAAAAACGCTACTCATTCTACAGTTTTTGTCTGATTTCAGTATAACTTGGTACACAAGTAGACTACACTAAGATACATAGAATAGTGCATCAGTTTTTGATTTCGATGAACGATGTTGCCATGGTTACAAAAAATAGAATTTTCTGTGAAATTCCTTTAAAATGCTCCTCCTTCTACAGTTTTGGTCTGATTTCAAAATAAGTTGGCACACAAGTAGACTACACAAAGATACATAAAATAGTGCAATGGTTTTTGATAAGTACAAACCAGTAGAGCTACAGTCTCGACAGAGACTTCTGGTTTATATAAAGGCTTTCTTCATGTACTAGTATTAATTAAGTAAATTAAAGGGATGCCTTAATATTTTAGCAAGGAAAAGGAAACTCAATCGAGAGATTCTCCGATGTTTTGCAGTCGGTAATAACCTTCAACCCTTTTAGCCAGTAATTAACCCGTCCTCCCTGTGCCAGTAGCATAATTCGGTCAAATATTTATTGTTCACGAGGGGTGCCTTATAATAAATCACAGGCACCTGAATTTTTATCAGTAAGTCTCTAAATTAGCCAAATATCGAAACATTCTACCCCCTCTATATAAAGTATAAATACACAAGGCGTGCAACGCCATTTTGACCCCTTGTTCGATTCAGGCCTCAATTTAACACATAAATCGGATATGCCTACTGGTTTTCGTGTAGCATTGGGTTCAAATATGATATTTCTCGCTATATATTTCTTCCTTAATTTTAAATCCAACGCGTTGATAATGTTATCAGCTAAACTTCATGCTGACTTCGAATTTCGTCACAGGGCCCGATCGCCATCAGCTGACGTCACGGAAATTTAATCTCGACACCAAATGCTCCTATACATAAACATTTTTAATATAAATTTATTTCATTGACAAACAAAATTAGAGAAAAATTAAAAACCGAAAGATTATGTTGTTTTGATAGTCTTGATTTTAATAAGCATATGTTATATGTGTTAGAAACAAATCATAGGTAGAGGCTTTGTCGATAGGTAGCGCCTTTTGGAAGTTTCCGGTGTCGATACATGCCATAAAGCGGTTAGCGAAGCTAACCGCTTAAAAAGCAGTGCATCGATTTTTGATTTCGATGAACGGTATTGCCATGGTCACTAAAAATAGAAGTGTCTGTGAATTTCCTTTAAAACGCTACTCTTCCTACAGTTTTGGTCTGATTTCAATATAATAACTTGACACACAAGTAGACTACACTAAGATACATAAACTAATGCATCTGTTTTTGATTTCGATGAACGGTGTTGCCATGGTTACTAAAAATAGAAATTTATTTAAAAATTCATATATAGTTTTGGTCTGATTTCAATATAACTTGGCACACAACCAGGCTACACAAACATACTTAAGTACATAACAATCAAGACCGTCCATCTATTTTCAATATCTTACCTGTTTACTCGACAATATATTCAACTGAAGTAGTAGCAATTGCAGATTTAAATTAAACATTTATTTCAGCCATCTAATTTGATTTTGTTTTCATTGATATTTTTTTTAGCGAGTGCCAAACAAACAGATGGATTCCAGATGCCAATGGTTCCAGCAGGATAAAGAGGAGTAGAATGATCAAGATGGCAACTCACACAATTAAAACCTGTGTTTATAAACAAATTGTTTTTGACAAACTTGAATTTGCTTTATTGTAACAATCCCCCCCCCCCCATCCGCAAAAAATAATCCGACTATATGCTTTAGAACTGGAAACTTTGCAATGTATCATCCGAATCTTTAAAGAACAGCGGAACAATGCAAAGTTTCTCTTTAATTTAACTTTGATTCGCGCGCGATAAATGTTCGCGAGTTCCGCTTCCTACCTTAATTCGCGAACATTAATAGCTGCGAACAAATAAATTTGATAAGTACTAATGTATCTGTAGAGAATGTTTCCTCGGTCGCAAAAATAAATTGTCGCAGATTGATTTCGTACTAACAAATCGTGAATAAAAGATGACGCGAGTAATAGTTGGTTTATAGTATTTAATATATATCAGTATATAGAATTTGACAAAGGTTTAAACTCTAAAGCTAATATATATATATATATATATATATATATATATATATATATATATATATATATTTAAAAGTAAAAATCCAAAAATATCACAAAACATTTACTGCAAGCGCTTTCGCCATGTTCGGCTCTTCAGGCGGTTATACATATAAAATACATGGTTACTGTCTTGAAATATAAGCGATATTTGGGCGAGGGTAAGAAAACGTGATAGAGGGCGAGGCTTGTTGTTTTAAAAAACTGTTGACCAAGGCCCGTTTTACTACACAGGAGGAAATTCCAACCATTAAAAAATGCGGAGATCCGAGATGCGGAACGTGTACATATTTAGAAGAGGGGAATAAAATCCAACTTAAATCAGGAATGGAAATTCGAACCAACTCATCTATGAACTGTAAATCAGAAAACGTCATCTACTGTGCCATCTGTCCGACGTGTAAAGAATATTATATTGGACAAACGGGAAAACTAAATGCCAGGGTTCGTGTGCACAAACAACAAATTAAAGACCCTAGTGTGCGTAATACACCGTGTTGTGAACATTTCGCAAAATGTGGCAAAGGAATATTTAAGATTTTCCCTTTTTATAAACTTCCAAATGAAAACGAAAATTTACGTTTGGCAAAAGAAGACTATTTTATCAACCTCTTTAAACCCAAACTTAATCGCAAATGATACTATAGATATTTTACATTTTGAAATTTCATTTGTTTAATGTGTGAAAGTTAGTGCAAGATTTGTACATTAACGATAACGCCAACTTAACGCTGCCTACATCTATTATGACGTCACAATGAACTTTATGCTTTTGACGTTACCAGGTAACCTACCTGACATTTGTATAACTGCCTGAAGAGCCGAACATGGCGAAAGCGCTTGCAGTAAATGTTTTGTGATATTTTTGGAATTTTGCTTTTAAATATACAAAAAAACTGTACCGATTCTTCATTTTGTTTTGAAACTATATATATATATATATATATATATATATATATATATATATATATATATTGCATATATATATATATATATATATATATATATATATATATATATATATATATATATAATAAGACATTGCATTTCACCACATAAATGATTCTAATACAGTGGTTCTATATCTAAAATCTGTAAACATTACAAATCTTTGAACAAGGCATGAATAAGCAACTCCAGAAATTCCAGACTTTAGATCAGGTGGCGATGATGAGTAAACATCCCTTACTGACTGTTTCATCCGCCGTAAACCCTATGTATTGACGTAGTAGACGGAATATTTCGTAGTCAAATTATAAATTACATATAAAAACGAAGTCCATAATAGTCAGCCGAATACCGACCAATTGATAGGCTATATTTGCGGATGTAACCGGTCGATAAGCCAGGGATGCTTACTCCTCTATGGCACCTGATCCCACGTCTGAGGTTTTAAATGGTCTGCTACAAATTTGTTTTCTTTCAATGTCCAGTGGTTCTGGAGGTTAATTTTACGACGACGCAGAACGGATTAATTCGAACAGAAAAGCTCGGGAGAGCCAAAATGGATTTATTTCTCGTCAATATTTTTAGATTTATACATATATTCTGCTGGTATATTGCTGAGCAGGAAACATTTTAATCAGGTTGATGTGTGCTAAAAGAATAAAACATATTATATCCAATTAGATTTAAACATTTGTAATCTGTGCATATATTATACATAATGCATACAATTTCCTTTTTCAAATTTACGTTTTGTTTTGTGACATTGCATGATTTGTACGACCTTTGACAAATAATGTCGTCTATTATGAAACTTGACGCTCTTTTTTAAAGAAAAAGCTGAGCTGATATTTTAAACTAAAAAATCATGCAAACAATGTTTTTTTTTTCAAACAAACTCGTCTAATTTTTATTTTTTGAATTCCTCAAGTGGTATAAAAATCTGGATAAATGAACATATATTTATATGTACATACATTGTTAAATTTAACTTTTCGATGCAATTCTTATGGCCCCATTATCGAAGAGTGTTTAGCTCACCTGAGCCGAAGGCTCAAGTGAGCTTTTCTGATCAAAATTTGTCCGTCGTCTGTCATCGTTGTCGTTGGCGTCGTCGTTGTCGTTGTAAACTTTTTACATTTTCATCTTCTTCTCAAGAACCACTGGGCCAATTTCAACCAAACTTGCCACAAAGTATCCTTATGTGAAGGGGATTCAAATTTGTTCAAACGAAGGGCCACGCCCTTACTCAAGGGGAGATAATTCAGAAATAGTGAAAATTGGTATGTTTTAAAAATCTTCTTCTCAAGAACCACTGTGCCAGGAAACAGGAAACTTTTAGGGAAACATCCTCAGGTAGTGCAAATTCAAATTTGTTCAAATCATGGCCCCCGGGGGTAGGGCGGGGCCACAATGGCCGATCAAAGTTTTACATAGAAATATATAGGGAAATTCTTTAAAAATCTTCTTCTCAAGTATAGCAAAGGCATGAATGGTCATATTTATGTAAAAGCATTCTCAGGTAGTGTAGATTCAAGTTTGTTCAAATCATGACCCCCGGGGGTAGGGAATGGCCACAATGGCCTATTAAAGTTTTACATAGAAATATAAAGGGAATTCTTTAAAAATATTCTCCTCTAGAACCACTGTGCCAGGAAAGGATGAAATGTATATGGAAGCATCCTCAGGTAGTGTAGATTCAAGTTTGTTCAAATCATGACCCCCGGGGGTAGGGCGGGGCCACAATGGCCAATCAAAGTTTTACATAGAAATATTTAGGGAAATTCTTTAAAAATCTTCTTCTTAAGAATCACTGTGCCAGGAAAGAGGAAACGTATATGGAAGCATCCTCAGGTAGTGTAGATTCCAGTTTGTTCAAATCATGACCCCCGGGAGTAGGGTGGGGCCACAATGGCCGATCAAAGTTTTACATACAAATAAATAGGGAATTTCCTTAAAAATCTTCTTCTCAAGAATAGCAAAGGCATGAATGGTAATATTTATATGAAAGGATCCTCAGGGAGTGTAGATGCAAGTTTGTTCAAATCATGACCCTCGGGGGTAGGGCGGGGCCACAATGGCCGATCAAATTTTTACATAGAAATATATAGGAAAATTCTTGAAAAATCTTCTTCTCTAGAATAGCAAAGCCATGCTGAGGACTTCATATTTATATGGAAGCATCCTTATGTAGTGTAGATTCAAGCTGGGACCATTTTTTTGTTTAAACTTTAATAATAAACCGATTTCTGCTTTTTTCCAACCTACAGTGCTCAGGTGAGCGATGTGGCCCATGGGCCTCTTGTTGTCCTGTCCATTCGTCGGTCTGTCTACCTGTTTTTCTGTTTATACCGGTAATTGCAGCCCGGAGGACCGGGCTGCTCTATACATATAAGTTTAAGTGTTGGCGTATGGTGCTTGGGGTGGGAGAAGTTATTCAGAATTAAAGATTTTCTTAACATTGAAAAGATTGTTAATCAGAATATTCTTTCCCTTTCTAAATTACAAGATACATGATATATTTACTTCCATAAAGTGCGTATGTAAAAATAAATATGTTTTACATATCTAATATATAAAGTTGCTTATCATTTACTATTGAAAAAACGACAGATCCCTTTTTTTAGAACATCGAATTTTACTTCTCGAATAAAAACGTACCGAGTCTCTGCATTCATGTTTTATATTCTAAAATTGAAAATTAATACATTTTTGAATAAAGGTGATGCATGTGTATAACTTCAATTTATATTTTATGCAGCCAACATTTACATGAGGAATTGATCAAGTTTAAAATGGTATCGTTTTTGTTTGATTTTTATCCGACTATAAGTTTTCAAAATATTCGCGACTATCGTCGCCATCAATTAGACGCATGCCTTTTCACACATATCAAAGAAGTTTAATGATCAAGACTCATTTCCATTGTTTACCTTATATATTTCCCGGGCGACAATTGATGATTACATCAATGTTTACTTGTTGTATTTTTTGTGAGCTCACGCCTTATATAAGATATTAAATAAATTAAAGCAATAGTATTTTTTGAAATGAAAATTTTCTGACGTTTCTACTGATGGTACTTTTGTGTCTTGCTGAATCTCAATTTCAAGTTATAAATGATAACAAAATCATAAATACAAAAACAAAATACTCATGTTCAATGCAGTGTGTAACGATACAAAAATTGAAGTTAAAAATAGTAATTTAAAAGTCATCACTGTGAATTATAAAAAAAAAATAAGGAAAAAGAGTAAGACATTCTTAAATTAAACAAATCTTCCCTATCTCTGTTTTGTGTGCAGTTGTAAGTGCAGCTCGCACTCCTTGTCTGAATTGAGGCTATTATTAATTACAGCTATTGAAAATTACATCACATTGAACGGTCGTGTTTAGATTTCCCACTTCTTCTATTGATGAGTATTACTACTAGGAAACAGTGATTACTAAGCCCTGCATTAATTCTAAGTACATTCATCACTCATATAAACAAACTCTAAAATAATACTGTCTAATGATTATTACAATATGTAAAAGGATGACTGGACTTAACGCTGTGTTTTGGGTCTTTTTTGGTTGCATCTGTAGTTTTTAAATCCTTATCTAATTTCACGTTTGTATATTTACTACTGAAAACTGTCATTTTGGCACCAGTATAAAATGTTAAA